AGACTACAGCCTGCACTACACCCCCCAGCCTACAGCCTGCACTACACCCCCAGACTACAGCCTGCACTACACCCCCCAGACTACAGCCTGCACTACACCCCCCAGACTACAGCCTGCACTACACCCCCCCAGGTGACGCCGTCTGTGTCAGACACCAAGAGCGACCAACACAGCACACTGACCGCCACACCGATAGTAATTAACACACCAGTACATTATAGTGTATTAAAGTATTATTCAGTAAACTACAGTACAGCGTATTAAATAACCATTCAGTACACTAAAGTATAGTATTGTGTATTAAAGTATTATTCGGTTCACTACATTATGGTGTATTACAGCACTATTCAGTAGACTAAAGTGTATTAAAGTAATATTTGGCACACTACAGTATACTGTGCTCAAGTACTACAGTATAGTGTATTTAGTTATTATTCAGTATATCACAGTATAGCATAGTGTATGAATGTACTATTCAGTACGCTATGGTGTGTCAAAACACTATGCAGTACTGTATGCTATAGTGTGTTAAAGTACTATACAGTGCACTACAGTATAGTGTATTAAAGTACTTTTAAGTGTTTGCTATAGTGCGTTAAAGTACTATTCAGGACACTACAGTAGAGCATGTTAAAGTACTATTCAGGACACTACAGCATAACATGTGAAAGTATTATTAAGCACACTACAGTATAGTATACTAAAGTATTGTTTAGTGGACTATAGTATATTGTATTAAACTATTATTCAGTACACTACAGTACAGTGCATTAAAGTACTATACAAAACACCACAGTGTAGTATACTAAAGTATTATTCAGGACGTGTAAATAGGGCGAGATAAAGTACTTTTCAGCATACTACAGTATATTTTATTAAATTATTATTCAGTGCACTGCAGTACAGTGGATTAAAGTACTATTAAGTCCAGGACAGTAAAGTGCGTTAAAGTGCTACTCAGCACACGGCAGTATAACTCGGTCCGGAGGTGTCAGGTACAGCGCTCGGTCGGTAATAGTGTATTTGGATTAGTATTATTAGTATTGCCGGTGGCCTCTCGGCACTGCGGCAGCGCGGAAGACACCCGGCCGTGTCGGAGCCGCCGTCAGGCGAGGTCGAAACAGATTCGAACCGGAAAGAGCGGCGGCTGTGTCGGCGCGGCTCCGCACAAACTTCCCACTTCAGGACAGCGGCGAGTTTCCCACCAGCCCCCGACCCCGGACCAGCCCGCCGCCGGATCTGTCCGAATGAGACGTTTCTGCGCGTCTTACCTTCGACGGCGGCGGAGTCTGCAGCCCGGGGGTAAAACGAAACAAAATTGCCGATTATTTCCTGTCTGCGAGCGTCGACCCGTCACCCGCGCAGCACATACTGTGCCCAGAACAAGACTCCAAAAACCTCACGCCCCAGACGCTCGAGTGTTTTTTTTCGCGAGTGGGGAAAGTCTGGAAAGCTGTGAGTACACGTCCAGCAACCCC